TATATAGGGCCTATATACTTTTTAAGCCATGTATCATGCATAGGAACGTTGATGCCTGCAAGGCTCTGGTTTGTATTTTGCAGGCTATTTTATTATCATTCATGTAAATATTATTGTTTATTTTTATCTGTCATTCATTTATTTACCATTAGATAGGAGATATGAATACAATAGCATTATGCTAATATAAGAATCATGCCATTCAGAGAACAAGTAAGTAGAAAATCAGAAATCACAAGACCATCCAGCTTCTGTGTAAACATTTTTTGTTCTGGTGCACCTTCTATAAGGTCCTGTCCAGGACTGTCAAATTCTATTTGACAAAACATGTGACATGCCTAAATATGATGACATCACATCATGAGGTATATCATGACTATATAATGGCATACAACAGTTTTTTCATAAAATTTGATAGAGTGGACAGAACACAAATGTACCTGTTTATCCAAAGCCTTTGAATAAAGACAAAATATAATCAAGAAAGTTTGTAAAATGGTTTAAATATGGAAAAGCATATTGTGGATAAAGCATTTTTTTTTAAAGATTTAAGTACTATGAAGCATAATGGCATACAACAGTTTTTTCATAAAATTTGATAGAGTGGACAGAACACAAATGTACCTGTTTATCCAAAGCCTTTGAATAAAGACAAAATATAACCAAGAAAGTTTGTAAAATGGTTTAAATATGGAAAAGCATATTGTGGATAAAGCATTTTTTTTTTTTAAGATTTAAGTACTATGAAGCATATATTGTGGATACTCTTTTTTTAAACTGCATATCATGGATAAAGCCTTTCTTTTAAGTTTGTAAAATGGGCAGTTGGCCTTGTGTATCTGAATAAATAATATTAAATTGAATTGTTTAAAAAGTAAAGAACAAACATCGCTAAATTTAGCAACTTTTCCATGAGGTAAAAGGGATTATCAGATACATTTTTGTACCAGAATAACTTCATTCAAAGAATAAATAATATAGCTAGATAATCACAAAGAGTAGCATTGTAATGCTAAGAGAGATTTGTAATTACCACAGGAGCAGAATATTTCCGTTCATCTACGCTCAACTTCCTCTTAGGAACAGCAGACATTTAAACAGAAATAAAAAATATAATTTAATATGTCAAAAACAAGTGCAAGTTACTGAGAGATTTCACTTTTTGTTCAGATTCACCTTCTTTAAAGCCCTATCTTAGGACTACAGTATCATTGTCAACTTTTATTTGACAAAAGCATGTGACATGCCTAAATATAGTCATGATGTCATCACACCATGACCATATTTAGACATACCATGACTATATATGGGCATATAACAGTTTTTTGTCACATTAACCCTTTGAGGTCGTGGTCCGTATCCCATACAGAGTTAATTTACTGTCTCTGGATGCACGGCCCGTATACGGTACGGACCTATTTCTCCTATTGTTTTAATAATGCTGCCCTCTGTTGCTGACTCTTTTAGGGGATTTCCCTAACGTCATAGTAACTAGACAAGGCTTAGCAATTGTATAGAGCAAAAATCGGCAATTTTTTCTGTCAGTGATTGATGTACTTGGATAGACGAGGATAGCGGGATTGTTTATATAATAATTAATTAATTAATAATATGCATAATACGAATCTGAGGAAAGTAAATATAACCAAGAAAGTTTGTAAAATGGTTTAAATATGGAAAAGCATATTGTGGATAAAGCATATATATGGGCATATAACAGTTTTTTGTCACATTAACCCTTTGAGGTCGTGGTCCGTATCCCATACAGAGTTAATTTACTGTCTCTGGATGCACGGCCCGTATACGGTACGGACCTATTTCTCCTATTGTTTTAATAATGCTGCCCTCTGTTGCTGACTCTTTTAGGGGATTTCCCTAACGTCATAGTAACTAGACAAGGCTTAGCAATTGTATAGAGCAAAAATCGGCAATTTTTTCTGTCAGTGATTGATGTACTTGGATAGACGAGGATAGCGGGATTGTTTATATAATAATTAATTAATTAATAATATGCATAATACGAATCTGAGGAAAGTTTTTAACTAGAAACTTTAGCAGCGCAACCAGTAATGCTAGGCCTAGGTCTGCAAACGTTCATTTCGGGTTTGGTCATGTACATGTACCCCCCTCTTATATTTCAATACCCCTACTCCCATCTTCTCTATTATATTATTATTTCATCAAGTGTATTAGTTTTAGTGAAATATATCCTAGCTCCAGTAGGCCACCCTAGTTAGAAATAAGCATGTAGGCCTAGCTAGGCTTACTTGCCCTCTATCGAGGGAAGGGGCTTGTGATAGAGGCCGTTCCCCCAAATTATGACTTTTGTGACCTTGGGCACAAAAAAATCGTCTTAAATATGACAGCATAATTTTATTCAACCAAACACATTTTATTTCTGTAGAAAACAACATATTCCACAGAATGCGTACATTTATGAGCATAGGAATTTTTTTAGTGTCGTTTACATGGGGTTTATGGGGGGAAAAAGTACCCTTTTTGGGCCCCTAAATTGTAAGTTTGGGGCACATGACCTTTGACCTAGGTCAAAAAGTCGAACAATTTTGCTATTTTTTCGGAAGCCCAAAACATTTAGTACCCAACAATCAAACCAACATTCGCAGAAAGTTAGATGTATTGTGCGTTTTTCAGAAACCTATTAAAACCCCTTAAGGGGCTCCAGCGACCTAGAATAGACCCCCTTGGGACTTGAAAGGGTTAACTTTGAGAGTGTGGACAGAGCTTAGTGATTTGAGAAAGAAATATTTATACTTTATTAACTTTTTACAGTAATATAATTCTTGTAAATCTAGAGTTGTATTGATTAAACGAAGGTAAATTTTTTTATCTAAAGCCTTTGAATTGAATTGTTTAAAAAGTAAAGAACACACATCGCCACCCTCAGCCACTATTCCACAAGGGTAAAGAGAATTATCTGATGCATTTTTTACCAGAATTACATTTTTTGATGGAAACTTTGGATGTACAGTATATACTATAAATATATTGATTCTGGAATTTTTTTTTTAGTTCAATATAAAAATAGAGAATGCGATGCAATAGCTACATGCTATCCTTCATCAAAGACAATTGGAAACTCCCTGATCACCTATGATTAGTCATACAGTACTTGAAATTAGGGCTTCTGTGAAATTCTAAATTACCTATTATACTTTTGGGAATGATATGTTTGTATAGTCCTGAAGAGATGAAGACAATACACTGGCTTGGAATTCTACCAACAAAATCAGAAATCATCCTTGTACAATGGATGGTCACAGGATATTTTAAACATGATATAGTTGAATAATAATAATAAAGATTACCATCCAAACAACAAATTGTATAAAAAGTAGTTATTTATTATTGATGAACTGTTTATTAAAAAAAACTGAATGTCATGTCATGTCAAAGAGAGAATTTTCTTTAAATTCTCAAGTAG